ATATTATCTCCAAGTCATAATGAATTAAAAAACTTTTTTTAGGGTTTTGATTCGGAAGCTAGATGACGCACATTTTTTAGTCTTACATCTTGATTACCGAAAAAAGTACAGGATGTTGTTTAATATTACAGGGACTACAAGCTCCCAAAAGGGCAACGGTTCCATATCCAGTGCTACAGTTGGTGCAATAAGTGGCGCGGCAGTAGCTGTACTTGTGGCAGTGATCCTCGTAGTCCTGTTGGTCGTCATCAAGAGGTATGTGTCATGCTTATAATATCGTATTGTAACATATTGTATTTCTTACACATGAAGTCACTGACCCCTTTGGGTTGACTCCAGAAAATAGTAGATCCCAAGTACCTAAGGCAGCATACAATGTGGATCGGATAGTCAGGCACAATGAACATGATGGCATGGATCCGAACATCTTGCCTTCAGTCACTGGTTTGCCAGACTCGGAGTTACATAGATCGTGATGTATAGCAGGAATATTGCTCACTTTCACGTCACATAACCACTGAATTTAACATAAAGGGGTTTACTGGAATGTGCACAACGGAACACACTATTACAATATAAAGCATAATACAAGATGTTTGGCATTGCACATGTTTCCACACTTCTAAAGAAATGATTGCAATGTGTATAAGTTCTACGGAAACTACCCCTAATTGTCACGTACATACACATTAACACTTCTTTTGTTCCAGAAGACGTAAAATGAAGTCTCAAGAAGAAGGAAATACAATTTCTCTCGGTAAAGTAATTATTGTCATTTTTGAATTGTCTTTTTGCAATTTATAACAAATCAAGAACTACAATTTGCACATAATGATCATGTTATGTTTTATATCTGTTTATAACAGGAGTACCTGAAATGTGAATAATTACGATTCAAGAGTGGCCACCTTTACTCCTCTAACAACGTCGTGTGACATGTGTGTCGATATTTCCAAGACAAAACAACCATGACACACAGGGTATAAGTTCAAGTGCACAGTCAATGCACCAGGCACCCGGTTAACCGTATATCTTTTAAATTGCATTTACCTCAAACAAACGGACAAGATGTTGCTTTAATATCTGAATACGCTTGTTTAAGGTGAGAAAGACGCTCCTGCTACAGGTAAACCTGCGCCACCTGAAAAGCCTGAGAGGAAACCAAAGCCTCCTGCAGACAACGTGTACGAGAACTCGGAGCCATACTACAACGTCGTCCCAGCTCCTGTGTCCCTGGACAGGCTCAAGCAGTACGTCAGGGACAGAGTGACGGGCGTGGGATTCGAACACGAGTACAAGGTAGGGCGTGGTTAAATTGATAAATTCAACTGTAATCTAAAGTTTTGACATACCTCTTTAAAAACTCATGTTCATTCGTTTCGCAAAGGCGTGGTGTTATCATGGCGTTATTCAGACGTGTGAGTATCTATTATCCAGCTGCTTCTTTTGTTTTCATGTTTATTTTAACCAAAGGGGAAAATAAAAGGATGAATATCCCTAACTGTTTGGCCAATCGAAATCATACCCTGTGGGTTACTTTCATGTTTTGTCTACACTGTCAACATGAATAGGCATTGCACATTGCATGAGGACTACTGTGAGGCGTCGGCTAATTAATACTTACGTTTGCAAAGCAAATTGTGAGAATGGCTGGTGCTACCGTTAGGTGATGCTACAACATTTTCCGCGAACACCTGGTGTCATCACTGATTTTCATATCCATATAGCTTTCACAGCTAATTTGCCCTTTACGCTAAATGGAATGTTTCGGAGGATAATCAAGGTTATTGCAGGTTATTGCATTGACGCCTTATATGTTCAGCTACTCCGTTACGGAATACACGGAGCTCATGTCGAAGGGAGAAAACCTGAAAATAAAAAGAGGAACCGTTTCTTGGAACTGTTTCCATGTGAGTTTTAGTGACGTAATATTGTATATAAAACACACTATTTTTTGCGTACATGTATATTTTCGTTATTGGAAGAAGATGCATATTAACTAATAATGTAGCTCTATGAGCATCCACTTGGTAAATGTAATCTGGCGTATGATTAATGCACTTATTATCATTATATTCATATTTGTCTCATGCAGCGGTAAGGAAATCTCATTTTGAACGTGTTAACTTTGCTATAGAATATCAATTTCCTTGATGGTGTGATATTCTAAATAGTGTCTCCATTGAGTGTTTAATGATTACATGACCATCATGTGTGTGTTTCATCAGAAATGAAAACATATCCTAATTTCTTCTTTGAACAGATGACATCAGTCGCGTTGTTCTGATGCCCGATGGTGATGCCACATGGGATTATATCCACGCCAGCTACATAACTGTAAGCCACACTTGATCATATGGTTAGCTATTCTCGTATGTATATTATTCCAAACCTTGCACTGGCAAATAAATGAGTGAAAAGTAATTTCGTATAATGTGTGTGTCATCTTTCACTGCACAATACGTTTGTTACATTTCAGGGCTTCTCCGAATCCAGTGTGTTCATTGCTGCACAAGGTATATGTCTTGAACGTTATTATATGTTTTGTAGATAGATGACTGATTCCTCTATAACACATATACAAAACTATTGCTATATCATTTCCTTTATTGTAAGCCTACAAAGTGGATCTTTGAACGGTTTTATTTACATACATGATTTTGGATGACCTCCTCTGTTTGTTTGTTGTTTAACGCCACACCTTACAATATTCCAGCTTTATGACGGCTGTCTTTAAATAATCGAGTGTGGACCAGACAATCCAGTGATTGACATCATGAGCATCGATCCATTTGGGATATGATGACATGCATCAACCAAATCAGTGAGCCTCCCTACCCGATGCCTTTAGTCGCTTCTCACGACAATCATGGGTTGCTGTTCAAACCCAGCGGATCTTCATGCGTCGGCCTTCTCTGACCCGGAATTCGCCATCACACTACCAATGCATTTCATATACCATTACTCATGGACACACACTATTTTCAAACCTAAAGGTAGAAGTAATCTCATAGTCATGGTAATTTTATTCCAGGACCTAACCCTGTCATTGTGAACGATTTCTGGAGGATGGTGTGGCAGGAAAACGTCTCGATAATCATCATGCTAACTAGAGTCATGGAACTAAACAGGGTAAGCTGAACTGAAGAGTAAAGAGTTTACATGAACACATTCCTCTTGTAATCATCTGTGATGGCAACAAACGTCTGTATCCCTTTGCCTTTGCCCTTTCCTGGAGCAACCTTGATGTAACTGATAGGTGTTGAGAGCTGTCTAAAATTAGAATCAGAGGCGTATGATTGACTTTTTCAGATATTAATTATATTACCTATATATTAAGTGTTAAAACATTACATTTTGCAGTCAAGAATGCACATAACCATCAACTTTCTCTTCAGAAAAAGTGCGAACAATACTGGCCTGACGAGAAAGAACAGAAGATGTGTGGTCGCATTGTTATCAGGCCACTGTTGGCCACAGTCAGGGCGGACTTTACCATCAGAAAATACAGTGTTCACCATTCTACGAAAGTAGGTCCTTTGGTCCTGCGCGATACTGAAGCACATGTTGCACATAGGGTGTCTCATGAGGCATGTGACTTTGTTCGAAATATGCCTCTGTTTACCCATCTGTGAATGGGTACCCGGTAGGATGAAATGGTAGTGCGACAGTCACTGTTAACCATCTAGCCCCCAACAGGAAGCTTTGGTCGTATACTCCCTAGGGAACTGTGAACGAAATGTGATCGGGGTTGTAACAGTGTAGCGCTTTGAGCATGCGTGTGTTGAAATATAGCGCAATATAAATGGTATTTCATAATATTTACTATATAGTCGGAATCGTAGTCCGCTTTAAGCAGATATTTCTTGTGGATATTAAAAAGGGGTTTGTCGCTTTTATCATTATTATTATTTGTACTTAAAAATAGTTAATTTAAGGAAATCAGAGTTGTGCAATATGTTGTTATCAGAATTGACACTTCCTCTGTTCCATATAAGTGAGTGAACGAGAGAGTATGGTTATACGCCGCTCTTAGCAATATTCAAGCAATATCACGGCGGGGTACACCAGAATCCAGGTCTTCGGCATGACGAGCGAACGCTTTAACCACTAGGCTACCCGACCGCCCCAAAACCATATGAGACATGTAGATCTGTTTTATTTGAGATGCTATTTCTAGCCCTCTGACAAGAGGACAGTGACGCAGCTTCACTTCACGTCCTGGCCTGACCACGATGTTCCTTCAGCGCCGGCTCTGGTCGGCTTCTGGAAGCAGTACAGGAGTCTGACGTCATCAGAGGAGATTACCGGACCTGTTGTAGTTCATTGCAGGTATGTTGCCTGCGACATTTTCAAGATATGATTGTGCTTTCAACTAGAAACAAAATACCTCCAGCCATTCAAGTGGCACCGTCCGAAAACCTGCACAGTGATACCCATTTCCAGAGGATGTCTAAAGACCCTTTATACCTTCATATGTATCCAGCATACCCGGTGATATACAGTCGGACACACTGATCCTTTCACTTTTACATATTCTTTTTTACTTATATCATGTAATTCTCATTTTAAAGATTTAATCATTTTGGACAGCAAAACTGCAGGATTCATATCAAACCATGCTTAATAAAAGATGGGATGTGTGTAGGCATTTTCATTTTTTTCTACAACATTCTGTGCCTCAATTTACTGTACTATAATAATATCGAATTAATGCATTATTGCCATGTAAACTTGGGAAACGTATCTGCAAGAACGTAATGAGAAATGATGAATAGGTTAATACCGTTTCTCTAATATGTGATCTCTTGCTGACTGAAAATTCTGTATTGCCTCATCGTCACTGTATTTGTGATCTCCGAGTACTTCACCTTTGTATATAATTGCCTGGTAATTTATTACATGCTGTTGTTTTCTCTTTGTGACCTACTGTGTATCCGATCTCCAAATAAGTCTCCTGCATATCTGACTTGCTGGCAACTTATTTTTTATGTCTTCAGCGCTGGCGTTGGACGTACGGGGACGTTCATTGCTCTGGACAACCTCTTTGACGAAGCAGAGTCTCTGAACAAAGTAAACGTGTTCTCGTGTGTGTCCAAGATGAGAGAGGCTAGGATGAACATGGTGCAGACTGTGGTAAGTCCAAACTGTGAAGAGGCTAAACATTATTGTTTGGTAGCATCATGACAATTATGTTACTTTTTCAGTTATATATGATAACCACATAACTCACATTGAAAGAGACTACATTCTAATGACGACATTTTTTATAAACACTTTTTGCATGTTTCCAGGAGCAGTACCGCTTTGTTCATGATGTTCTCCTTGAAGCTCTTGGGAGCAGGGGGACTTTTTATACCTCTGCTGAATTTGAGAAAACAATTGGAAGTGGTTTGACATATACCAGACACGAAGAGGCGGAGATGAGCAGGCAGTTTCAGGTACAACTAATGGGCCACGAAATAGCTACACAAAAACAATGCATCGTTATTGTGTTGTTTGAAGGGGGCTTTGCAAAGCTGATAAAATGCTCACTCGTCACGGTTCTTTGATATTGCTGGACTAAAAGTGGTGTAAAACATACTCTCTCACTAACTGTTTTGACTGGATCAGTAACATTTGCGCACATAATCTAACCAGCTTGAATGTGATGACGGCAATGACTGAAGAATTTAAGCTTTCAGTTATATATGTGACGTTTCGCTACAGATGCTAGTATCAAACACGTAGGTAGGACATGGTTATATACCTAAGGTTACATATACACAGAGACTAAAAACATCATGTTACAACAGTGATGTTATGTGATTCTATGTGATGTAGTCAAGGTAAGCCGATGCAATGAATACCCTGCTGTCTAATAAAGTCAGTACTATTAAAGCTAATCCTGGTGCTTCAGCTTCTAAAATCACTTAAATATATATATGTGTATATATTTTAAATGTCTTGGATTGCATGTATACTGTCTATATACGTTTTCTCCCATATTAATTTGTGACATCGAAGATGTGTGAAATTAATGAACACAACGTACCTTACATTGCTTGTTTCCGCAGTCACTCAAAGCTATGCAGCAGGACTTAGATGATGATGTTGTGACTGCAGCTCAACTCCCGGAGAACAGAAGCAAAAACAGGAATCAAGACATTGTACCAGGTGAAGTCAAAAGCAAAATACTTCTACGTGTTGACATTTTATGAGTCAAGGAGTCGATGTTAACATTCTGTCACTTCTGCAATCTGTTCGAAGGATCAAAGTCCTGTCATAAGGACGAATTGGAACTTGTGTCGGTCAGCGGGCATTCCATCCACCCACATTCACATTAAGATATTTTTAGGTACTATTAGTTAATATTATTTCTAAATAACACGCACCTTGTTCAAAATTTGAATCCACAAGATTGTACGTGCAATCGTCATACAAGATTTATAATGTTTAGAAATAACAAACAAAGATATGCAATTCCAATTTCTGACACAAAATACACACTGCCTAATCACTGTGACTGCGTCAGATGAATATAACATTATTACACTTTAGGTTAGACTAACTCCATCCTCAAAGCACAAGGACCAAGATTAAACTGACTAAGACGTCTCCATATTAACGAGAGAGCCATGAGTATTTATGTTCGTTCTTGTGTCGTAATCTATGTTTAGATAGTCTGATACATACTACCACACTAACGGTGTTTAGTTTAGGGAACACCCAAGATTACTTACTTTATCTTCTTTATGAAATAACAAATGTCATTATTCTTTCAGCGAACAATGTACGACCCTATCTTTCCACTCCCGTGCCAGGCCATAATGACTACATCAACGCAGTAGTGCTTCCAGTAAGTTGACTGCTGTCTTCTTTGCATCAGTAGAGATGTGTTCACATGCAGTGATCTGTTTCAGTATTCATATTAATGTTAAAATATTTTGCTAATGTTTGTTTCATGCATGATAACGATGATCATTGTTTGATTTGTTTTGACTCCAGACTGCCACACGTGCCCAAGGTATAATAGCAACCCAGACACCAGTGACACCGACTGTTGTTGACTTTTGGGGGCTGGTGTATGATCACGACTGTTTCACCATTGTCTGTCTCGAAGATGATAAGGTTGGTATCGCACACAAGGATTTTACTCTGCTTTTGTAAACATAGTGTTCAGTGGTGACATCAAACATGGGCATCAGCTCATCACACTTCACTGCAGAAGAAGTAGTCAACAGACATGAAATGGCATGACAGCCTAACAAGACCCTTGCAGAAAGCCTAATAAAATGTTCGATCAATAGTTTGCAAACACTTCAGATCATTTTTGAACAAGCATCAAATACTCACATCCCCCGCCAATATGACATGTCGGGTGTGTGCAATGCATTAGCTCCTGTGAACTATGTTAACTAGGCCTTTATGTAAAGAAATATAGTACGTTTTTCAAGATCTGCTCCGGAAACAAGGACTACCTCCATTTTCAGTCTAAATCAAAGTCGTTGCCATGGAAACTCGAAAAATAACTTTTAAAAAAAATCCAACCCTATCAAAAGGCACCAGTTCACTACTAGACCTATCAATGTGCAAAATATGGTAAAGAAAAATGGTACGGTTTTCAAGATCTGTTCCGGAAACAAGGACTACCACCATTTTCAGTCTAAATCAAAATCGTTGCAATGGAAACTCGAAAAATATTGTTTTAACAAATCCAAACTATCAAAAGGCACCAGTTCACAACTAAACCCATCTATGTGCCAAGTATGGTGAAGAAATATGGTACAGTTTTCAAGATCTGCTCTGGAAACAAGGACTACCGCCATTTTCAGCCTAAATCAAAGTCGTTGCCATGGAAACTCGAAAAATAATTTTTGTTTAAATCCCAAACTATCAAAAGGCACCAGTTCACCACTAGATCTGTCTATGTGCCAAGATTGGTGAAGAAATATGGTACGGTTTTCAAGATCTGCTCTGGAAACGAGGACTACCGCCATTTTCAGTCGAAATCAAAGTCGTTGCAATGGAAACTCGAAAAATAATTTTTTTTTAAATCCCAAACTATCAAAAGGCACCAGTTCACCACTAGATCTATCTATTTGCCAAGTTTGGTGAAGAAATATGGTACGGTTTTATAAGATCTGCTCCGGAAACGAAATGTGACGGCCGGACGGCCGGACAGAAGGACGGCCGGACGGCACCCATTCCTATATCCCCCTTCCACTTCGTGGCGGGGGATAATAATGTACCATCCGACGCTTCCTGTTTTTTTCCCTTGTTCAGAATATGTATATTTGAAGTAAACAAACGTGGCCTTTACTATTTTGCAGTTCTTCCAAAATTCAAATATGGGACATGTAATTCTATCAACACTTGCTTCATACACAATAGAAGTTGTCATTGATGAATAAAATAAGTACTGTGGTTTCTTGTGACATCTTCTGTTTAGATATGTGAGTAGGTTTTCTTTGGTGTCAAAATTGAAGGTGATCATTGGAAACTACATATAAGTCCTATTTGAATTAATGATCATCTCAGATGTCTATATTTTCGTATTCATCTCATAGTTAACCTTTCAGAGACTGTATCCCATGAAGGATCAAGTGTTGGAGATGGGACCTTTCCGAGTCACACACAGCACAGAGGACACTACAAGAGACATCTTTACCAGCGTTCAGATAACAGTAACACTGAATGAAGAGGTGCGACCTCATTCACCAGTAGTCAAATCATATTGTGCAATATGAAAGCACATAATATTTAAGATGATTTGATTGCATTATATCAGTTCATATCATTTATGTATCAGGAAGTCTGCGAGTGAATGTAGTCAACAACGTTCCAGCGATGTCAGGGTGTACTGTAGATAATCGAGTCTGTCTCAGACATACCCCTGACTGAAAGAATGACCGACACACAATCTCATTTAAATCAGATTGGGTGGCCAAGCTCTATGAATTTGCTGCTTGGTGTCACTCATATCGGGCGTGGTGTGTTGATCCAATCTCATTCAATCAGATCTTAGTTTTCGCTTCTCCTGAAGTAAAGGGTCACATCAGACCACCCTTTCACGAATTTTGACCGACCAATGGAATAACTGACAAGAGACAACATTAGCCAATTTACTTTCAAACTGGCGGCTATGTTTTGAAACTTGTTTTGACAAATTCTCGATTAAAAATTTGAAAACGGAAGAAACGAACATTCTAGTAGATTACCTAGATTGTCTGGATTTAGTAGCAAAACCCGTAACTGTCTTTTGGAATACCCGGTGTTAAAACTTTTGAGCGTGCATGATCAGAAATCGCATTCCGACTGTCTTTTTCATGATCTTGTAGGCTACGCTCTGATCGGTCAGACAAAAGGTCTTTCTGACGTGATCCTTAATGAGATGTCCTCAGATCTTTGTTTAGCGGAAGTGAGATCTAAGATCTGGTTATAATGAGATTGGATCAACACACCAAACCCAATAGGAGTGACACCAATCTGCCAGTTCATAGAGCATGGCTACCCAATCTCCATGAAGGTTGTTTGTTTGTGCTGGAGTAGGTGTCTGGGGACAGGAGTATTCATGTACTACGATCTATCACTTTACATCGTGCACATTATATCAAACTTTTGATCAGACGTAAAGACTGATGCCATGAGAATGCTACTTACAATAATATCAAGTTCCCTGTAATGTGTATGGTTTCCAGATCGATTCAAGTCGCCTGATCACAGTGTACAAGTTGAAATCCCGCATCCCTGGGAGCACAGAAGCTATGCTGGAGTTCGTGAATGAGATCGACAATAAGGGTACTTCCGAAGAACGCAAGACGCTTGTGCATTGTCCGTGAGTACAGATTCTGTTCTAAAGAACATGAATATACCACAGCATTTGTAAGGATAGTTCAAGACAAAAAAAAACGACTCTCTTTGTTCCATCCTATGCCCCTGGTCTCGTTCCAGTGACGGTGCCCGACTGTGTGGAGTGTTCTGCAGCGTCCTCAACATCATCAGCAGACTCAGACTGGACAAAGAAGTGGACATCTACCTGACCATCCGGGAACTTCAGTGTATCAGACACCAGTTCGTCCAGTCGTATGTGAGTACTGAATACTGCCTCACCATTGTACTATATCCAACACCCATTGTGACCTCACAGAAACAGAACGTTGTTGTCACAGTAATACTGATTTACTGACGAAACCTATTGTCTTGTTATGTTAGTTTGCGTTAAAAAACACTTATGATTAAGAAAAATCCTTTAACATATTTCGTGATCAAAACACAGTACCAAATTGATTTGAACTACAGTGTGAGAATGCAGTACTCTATTCTTGCCTGTAGTCATATTTACAGACCATGTATTCAAAATGCAGTGAACAAATCTATAAGTATGCACATGAAATGCATAACATGATGGTTGGTTGGTTGGTTTGTGGTTTAACGCCGCACTCAGCAATGTTCCAGGTATGTGACGGTGGTCTGTAAATAATCGAGTCTGGACCAGACAATCCAGTGACTAATATCATGAGCATCGATCCACGCAATTGAGATCGATAACATGCATCAACCAAGTCAGCGAACCTGACCACCCGATCCCGTTAGCTCGTTGCTAATTATAGCATTACTATATTTCAGGGCTCTTATTTCTTTTCCCAAAATTGGCACAGAATAGGATAGCGTCGGTGTTGCGCGCCGTATTAAATTAATTGAAGTACATATATACGTTATCTAATCAGTTCACCATCACTTCTGGATCAGCAGACCCCAACATGTTTTATCTCTAGTTATATTCTGTTGTTTTAGGATCAGTACAAGTTCTGTTACGACATGGTGAAGGAATACCACAGAGCTTCCAGTGTCTACGCAAATATGTAACACGGGTGGGTCGACATGGATCTTAACCTAATTGTTGGGAGACTTTTTTTGTCTCAGGTGCTATTTACTCAGTTCTTTATCTCAGTATATTTGTATTATTGACATGGTTACGGTAATGCATGTGTTCTCAGCTGTGCAACTGTTAAAATATACATCTTTATCATGCACCTGCAGACAGACACGGACGTATTTCAGATGGGTGTAGTATTTCCTGATCACTCAATTACAGTGAAGGGGATCAATGTTATTTTAAGGTCGCTTAGCAACATTCACAATATATCACTAGGCCCTGTACATGATTGAATCTG